TTTAAGCAGCTATTTCTATGAACCTGGGAACAGGGCCACCCATAGCAAAGGGCGTTCCCTGGGCCCATATCTTGTTTTTTAAATATCATTGTCTGTGGAAAGGAGCCAGAGGTCCTTGGAGAAATGCCTCCTTCAGGACAGTGAGAGATGAGCCAGGGATGGCTCCTTCCAGAAAGCACAGAGATGCCTAAACAAATGACAGGGAGAGTCCAGAAGGGCGTGGGCAAGCCTGCCTGGCACAGCCTGAGAACGAGGCTGAACCGTGGCGATACTGAATAAATAGCACTGAGTATAAAAGACTCGGGGCTGGGGAGTGGTTAGGAGGTCATGCATTTGCCATGCCAGGGCGAGCACTGGAGTCCAGAGCCCCAGATCCTACATGAAGGCCTTGTGGGTGAAGGCAGGGGCAGGGATCACCAGAGCAAGCAGACTAGGAAGACTAGCCATATCAATGAGCCCTGCGTTTGATTGAGAGAGCCTTCCTCAATGAGTAAGGCGGAAGAATGATTGAGGATTGGCTTCCACAGGCATGTGCCCCCCTGTGCAGGCACACCCACATGCCTCAATGCTCCCCCCACACATGCCTCAATGCTCCCCCCATATCTCCCTCAGTGCTCCCCCCACTAGAATGGAAGAAGAAAACCAAGTCCACCACTCATGGGTGAGTGTGAAAAGCAAAGGAAACTTGAAAACAGAAGGTGAACAGGGTAGAAGGGACGTTTCTGACTGAGAGTAAACAAATGTAAACAAATGTAAACAAATGCATACAAGGAAATGCTGGAGGAACAGCTCAGTGAGGCAGTCCTGGGTTTAGACAAATCACAGGTGTGATAACCATCGGGTGGAAACGATAATTGAGGGATAAAGAATATCACAGTTCCAGAGTGTCACCCCATGGATACACCTCCACACTGTGATCAAAGTCAGCATCACCAGTGAGGGTGGAACTGACTTCACGTGCCCAAAATGTATAACCGGAAATGTCATCGTATAGTGGAGAAAGGTCACGGTACAGAAAAGCCACCTCCAGGAGAACTAACCGCACCCCCCCCCCCAGACCTGCCTAAAACCAGTCATGAAATGGACAGTTTTATGAATCTCATTAGGGTCTTCATGACCTAACACCCCTCCTCTTAAGCATCACCTCCCCAAGTGAGAATTACCAAGTGACTTCTGGGGGCTATGTCCAAGCCACAGCAGGTGCAATCTGATACTCGTGGGAAAATCTTAGAGCTGGCAGATGTTAGCTGTGGGGCAATTTAAATCTGAATTCAGTTACTGCAGCATGCTTGAGTAAGAGAAACGTTCTTAGGAAATACACCCTGAATGCTTATGGATGAAGGGTCATGATCTCTGCAGCTTAATCTCAAGTCATTCTGTACTATTCTGCATGCACCAACATTTTCAGAACATGTTCTCAATGTTGAACATTTAAAAATTCCCAACTTAGAAAATTATTCAGCTGGGCAGTGATGGCACATGCCTTTAATCCCGGCAGAGGCAGAGGCAGAGGCAGAGAGGCAGAGGCAGAGGCAGAGGCAGAG